GTTCGTGGCCTTTCCGGCACGTTATCACTGTTAAATTTGTTACCTATTGCATGCTTGATGTGGTTTTTATGGATGGAGAGAAACACGAGAGCTCCATGGCTCGGTGAGGCAGGTGGTAGTGGTTCTGACAGAAATTGCAGATCATCTAGAGTGAACTGATGTGGCGAGGGTGGTTCTAGTAGAGGAGGACGGTCTCAGGTTGTTGAAACTATGTAGCCGCCCCCTCCGGTCCGGGATGTTTCAAACTTCATACGGCCGCATCAGTTAAGGCTAGAGTTGGATATTACAATACAGATGCAGTTATTGGAGATGAGTTTGGAATTGTGGTTGCTGTGAATAGAAAACACGGAGGCAATGGCATTAAGAAACAGTCTGCTCCTGGCCAAGGAGTGTGGAATTTCGGTTGCTATGGCCGAAGTCGACTCACTGAGGGTGGTGTGCAAAGCCTTCAAGCTTACTTCAGACGTGTTCCCAATGCTTCCATCTTGTTACAAATTATTTCTTTTATTGCGATGTGTTAAATGTGGCGCTTGTAACTTTATTCCACGACGAAGGAATTATAATGTTGCTCATAGTGTACTACTTGTGATTACGTTTCATTTGGAGATTGTTGGACATATTGTATTCCGTTCTTTATCTCGAATGTATTTTTTAGGGTATTTAGTAAGTGGAACCGTCGGATCTAACTTTGATTCGATCCCTATCATGAGTAATTTTTTTAACATTTATAACATGTTCGTTTTTTTAGGAGTGGGTCTTCTTTTACTGTTCATATGAACCGCGCTTTCTAATGTTGTCTCGAAACATTTATCAATTTATAAGAAAATTTTATGCAACTGATGCTTGACATAAATTTTTTTTTATACGTACTCTATTACGTAGTCAACTATATCATGACACGTGCCCTGCACGTGCTTCTCACTAGTGGTAAAAAAAGGGTAAGATGAAGATAGACATCCGCATTCGATTATTTGAGAAATTACAGAACGACTGAGAAAAGATAGATCACTTAATTTTGATTCTTTGAAATTTGAATTATAAAGTTGAGTTTAAGTTGAAAATAGCTCAATTAATTAGTTGACAAATAAAAGACGAAAAATTAAAATAAATTAGTTTGTTTAATATAAGGAAATTTAATTCTTATTCGATTATTCGATTCTTTGTCTAAAATTGAGAATCAAACCAAACTCATCGATTCTCGATTCTAATATACGTTGGGTATTTAACATAAAAAAATCGTTCGGTTCGATTCAATTTTGTAGTTTTATCCGGCCCTAATAATCGTAATTGTAAAATCAATAAGAATCAAGTAGAGAGAAATCTATTGTTGCACAAAGATTTCAACCACCAAAAATGGATGTTCAACAAATTATGCTAGGAATGGCTAAAAAACTCGTTGAACCCGATAGGGTCGATACCCTTGGAGCCCCGCCCCGAATGGGATGGGATTACCCGCAAGGACGAGACGAGGGTCATTGCCCCGAAATGGAAACATAGTCCCCCCTCTGCTACTCGCCCCGTTTAAAGTTAATTTCAAATTTAAGTTTTTTATCAAACAAAAATAATATATTTATCATCATTTTTAAAGAGAACATAAATTATTTTTAACAAATTGGTAAAAAAGTAATAATATTTACTAACTAAAGACATTTTAAAAAAGTAAAAAATAAAATAAATAAAAAATAAATTGGACAATAAATGGGGCAGAGGACTTGTCCCGATCCTGCTTTAACTGGGTATGGAAGTGGGACAATGTAACAAAAATACTCGACGGGACAAGGGTGAAAATAGTTGACCCGTCTCATACCCGTCCCCGTTGTCATTCCTAAATTATATTAAGGTTTTTTGTAATGTTGTCAAAACATGCCCGACCCGACCGGTTGGACTGGTAAAATGGGGAATCGGGCCAAATCATGTCCGACTTTTTATTATTGATAAAATTGTTTAAAACCCGCCTGACCCGATGAAACGGTCGCGGTTTTGTGCGGTTTTCACGATTTTTTTTTTTTAATATTAAAAATGTCATGCTCATTTTATAGATGCACTTCTCTCCAAAGATTTCATAGACTTTCAATGTGAGATTGTACATTTTATATATGTTCTTAACTCTAATAGTTTCATAAACTTCCTATATGGGATAGTGGCATAACAAAAAAAAATGTTAAAATGCCCATCAAACTCATTTTCAAATTTATGTCTAATTGACTAATATGATTTTGAATCCCAACTAACTNATTTTGAATCACAACTAATTGAATTGTAATATTCACTTTCATTCTTTCATTATTTAATTTTCAAATTTAACTGAAATTGCACTTAATTATTAATATATTAATTTTAGATATCATTTACTATAAGTTTAAACTATTTTAATTTAACAAAGTAAACTATTTTAACATATTAATTTTTAATTTTGAAGTACCAAAACTAATTGTAGAATAAGGAATCTAATTAATAAACATAGATTTACTTTATATTATTAATATGAAAATTTTTAAAAAAATAATATTGCTTTCATAGAATTTTATTATTTTTGTATGTATTTATTACATCCACTTCGACCCCGATTGAACCTTTTGACCCTTCAACTTTTTCGGGTCGATGATCAGGTCGATTATCAAAACATTGGTTTTTCGTCTCTCTTAATTCAATCATCAATTTTATTTGATGGATTCAAATAGTGAACACTGAACAATAGAACTCCATTGAGTTATAGTTAACAAACAGAATTTAATGAAACCATTGAGCCCCTACTTGGTAACCATTCTTCTAAAATTCTTTTATTTTCATATCTATTTTCCACTGCTCATTTTTAAAATGGAATAATCTTCACATAAATTTAAAAACAATATTATCTACTTTTTAATCATACATTTTCCAAAAATTACTATTCAAAAACTCGTTCTTCCCAAAAAAATTTTTTGTCAAACAGAGCCTAAATTAACTACATAAACCTAACTGATACTTCGAACAAATGACCATTCATCAAAACCACAAAAAGGGTCTCAAAAATCACACCAACGACCTCCTTCCTCACTAAAACCCCTCCTGAGCCTCCACGAGCATGGCACAATAGTAAAGTAGGAAAGTTATTGATGAAGTATCGGAAGTTCGAATCCCTGTTGAAGTTAGAAGGCAACATTTGATGTTGGAAGGCAATGGTCTCGTGGAGACAGTCATGGTGTGCTATGTCACCCCTCTAAGGGTCCAATTTGCATGTCATAAAGGGGATCCATATGAAGGAAAACTGTTTTTTGAATGTCCAACCCAAATGTATATAAGTTGTGACCTCATTCGATTTACTCAGATATGAAATCAAAGAGGAAGACTGCCACTCTTCATAATTAATCGAGTGAAATTTGGACGCCTGAATCATCGAAAAAAAACAAACCCACCTGCACCTGCAACATTCAAACATTAACGTGTTGGAAAAGTTTCTTAGTCTAAAAAAATAATAAACTATAAACTTAAATTTCCCTCTAAAAAGAGCATATACTTTGTTTAAAAGGAAACTCGGACTACCTTCAATAATGCATCCGAGTTGTCGCGCCCTGTGTAGCTTCACTAGAATGCAGAGAACCTCCTGACGTGGGTTCAATGTATATTCTTTCATGAGCCATCTAATGACAGTCATTGTTGTCGACATCGGCATTGACAATGACAGATTAAAACCTAAATAGCCTCCTACATCCTATGACTCGAAGACGATAATTTTCTTCCTCTATGATATATTTCACGCTTCCACCAGCATGAACCCAGACACCACTCCATTCTCCAATCCGTCGATTGACTTTTCTTAAAATGATGCACTATCGGGGTAAAAAAAAAATACAATATGTCGAGTCTACTTCAACATTATTATCTGCAAATAAAAACATATAGAGAGGAAAAAGAACAACGGTTTAGGACTCTAATTTTAATCATGAACAATGAGAGAGCACATACAAACGAGGGAAGATGCCCTTTTTCTCTTACGAACTTTGCTACTTGTTCAAGGTGAATTACAGGGTAAATCACCGTGTACAAGGTTCAGATGTAGCGTTGGTGCTGCCAGCATTGTAAAAGGACCTTGTACAGGAAGATTCCCCTTGTACAAATAGACTTGTTCTTCTCTTATCTAACAAGTTGAAACCAAAATTGGCCCACAAATCACGTCTACAAAATTAAAAGGAGTGACAGCCCAACTGGACTTTTGTAAAAGGAAGAATAACTCATTCTAATATGCTACCACATTAAATATTTGTTCGCCATTACTATTTTTTTATTAGTCATTTTGCATTACAAGCCGAAGAGGCTTATAAAGATAATTTTTTAACTATCATGGTATTTCAGTTTTTTCTTAGTGTACGTTACTCCATGAATGAATTCCTCGTTACAAAATAGTTTCTTTTTCTTTATATTTCAGAAGATCTAAGAGCATTATTAATGGGAAATAATACATTGAAATAACACATTTAATCTTCAACAAATATGAATTAAGGGAAATAATCATCGGGTATGTGCCTCACCGCACCACAATCTTTATAGTTGATAAATTTTAGTTTAACTCAACTGGCATTTAACCTCAGATAAACTCCAATAAACTGCGGCCACTTGTTACGAACCCCGGGGAGTTATTATATAGAATGAAGATGAGGAAGAAAATAAAATATTCCTTTCAGAAAGTCAAATTTGGACCCTTTTCAGTCAAATTTATTAGTTTAAATTTAATTAAAAAACTTAATTTTAGTAAGCTTAAACAAAATTATACAAATATATATTTTAT